GAGTAAGATTGGGGCCGGTCAAGGACAGTAGTGGGAAGTTGTGCGTGGAGTCTGAAGAGATAGGAGAGGTGCTAAATGAATATTTTTCGTCAGTATTCACACAGGAAAAAGACAATGTAGTCGAGGAGAATACTGAGATACAGTCTATTAGACTAGACGGGATTGAGGTTCATAAGGAGGAGGTGTTAGCAATTCTGGAAGGTGTGAAAATAGATAAGTCCCCTGGGCTGGATGGGATTTATCCTAGGATTCTCTGGGAAGCTAGAGAGGAGATTGCAGAGCCTTTGGCTTTGATCTTTATGTCGTCATTGTCTTCAGGAATAGTGCCAGAAGACTGGAGACGAGCAAATGTTGTCCCCTTGTTCAAGAAGGGGAGTAGAGACAACCCTGGTAATTATAGACCAGTGAGCCTTACTTCGGTTGTGGATAAAGTGTTGGAAAGGATTATAAGAGATAGGATTTATAATCATCTAGAAAGGAATAATTTGATTAGGAATAGTCAACACGGTTTTGTGAAGGGTAGGTCGTGCCTCACAAACCTTATTGAGTTCTTCGAGAAGGTGACCAAACAGGTGGATGAGGGTAAAGTGGTTGATGTGGTGTATTTGGATTTCAGTAAAGCGTTTGATAAGGTTCCCCATGGTAGGCTATTGCAGAAAATACGGAGGCATGGGATTCAGGGGGATTTAGCGGTTTGGATCAGAAATTGGCTAGCTGTAAGAAGACAGAGGGTGGTGGTTGATGGGAAATGTTCATCCTGGAGTTCAGTTACTAGTGGTGTACCTCAAGGATCTGTTTTGGGGCCACTGCTGTTTGTCATTTTTATAAATGACCTGGATGAGGGCGTAGAAGGATGGGTTAGTAAATTTGCGGATGACACCAAAGTTGGTGGAGTTGTGGATAGTGCGGAAGGATGTTGCAGGTTACAGAGGGACATAGATAAGCTGCAGAGCTGGGCTGAGAGGTGGCAAATGGAGTTTAATGCGGAAAAGTGTGAGGTGATTCGCTTTGGAAGGAGTAACAGGAATACAGAGTACTGGGCTAATGGTAAGACTCTTGGTAGTGTAGATGAGCAGAAAGATCTTGGTGTCCATGTGCATAGATCACTGAAAGTTGCCACCCAGGTTGATAGCGTTGTTAAGAAGGCGTACAGTATGTTAGGTTTTATTGGTAGAGGGATTGAGTTTCGGAGCCATGAGGTCATGTTGCAGCTGTACAAAACTCTGGTGCGGCCGCACTTGGAGTATTGCGTACAGTTCTGGTCACCGCATTATAGGAAGGATGTGGAAGCATTGGAAAGGGTGCAGAGGAGATTTACCAGGATGTTGCCTGGTATGGAGGGAAGGTCTTATGAGGAAAGGCTGAGGGTCTTGAGGCTGTTTTCGTTAGAGAGAAGGTTAAGAGGTGACTTGATAGAGACATACAAGATGATCAGAGGATTAGATAAGGTGGACAGTGGGAGCCTTTTTCCTCGGATGGTGATGGCTAGCACGAGGGGACATAGCTTTAAATTGAGGGGTGATAGATATAGGACAGATGTCAGAGGTAGGTTCTTTACTCAGAGAGTAGTAAGGGCGTGGAATGCCCTGCCTGCAAAAGTAGTAGACTCGCCCACTTTAAGGGCATTTAAATGGTCATTGGATAAACATATGGATGATAATGGAATAGTTTAGGTTAGATGGGCTTCAGATTGGTTTCACAGGTCGGCGCAACATCGAGGGCCGAAGGGCCTGTACTGCACTGTAATGTTCTATGTTTTATGTTCTATGGACCACCACCTTCTCAACGGCAACTAGGAATGGCCAATAAATGCTAGCCAACCAGTGATGCTCACGTCCCACAAATCAATAAAAAACAGAACTGACAGCATTCTTGCCAAGTTTGCAGACGTAAAGATAGGTGGAGGGACAGTTAGTGTTGAGGAAGCAGGGAAGTTGCAGGAGGACTTGGACAGGCTAGGAGAATGGGCACAGTATGGCAAATGGAATACAATGTGAGAAAGTGAGAGGTTATGCAGTTTGGTAGGAAGAAGAGAGGCATAGGCTATTTTCTAAGCAGGGAAAGGCTTTGGAAATCTGAAGCACAAAGGAACTTGAGAGTCCTAGTTCAGGATTCTCTTAAGGCTAACATGCAGGTTCAGTTGGCAGTTAGGAAGCAAAATGCAGTGTTAGCATTCATTTTAAGAGGGCTAGAATACAACAGCACAAATGTAGTGCTGAGGCTGTATAAGGTTCTGGTCAGACTGCATTTGGAATATTGAGACACGTTTTGGGTCCCATATCTAAGGAAAGATGTGTTGGTATTGGAGGGGATCGAGAAGTGGTTTACAAGAATGATCTCAGATGAAGAGCTTGTCATACGAGAAGTGTTTGAGGACTCTGGATCTGTACTCAACGGAGTTTCAAAGGACAAGTGGGATCTGACTGAAACTTACAGAATACTGAGAGGCCTGCATAGAGTGGATGTGGAGAAGATGTTTCTACTAGTGGGAGAGATGAGGACCAGTGGGCACAGCCTCAAAATGAAGGGATGACTCTTTAGAACTGAGATGATGAGGAATTTATTCAGCTAGAGGCTGGCGAATCTGTGGAACTCGTTGCCACAGAGGGTTGCAGAGGCCAAGTCACTGGGTGTATTTAGGACAGACATACATAGGTTCTTGTTTGCGTAAGGGGATTTTGGGTTACCTGGAGAATGCAGGAGGAATAGGGTTGAGTAACATATCAGACATGATTTAATGGCAGAACAGATTCAATGGGCTAAATTCTGCTCCTATATCTTATTACGGACTTTGCAAAATAGTGTTTTTAAGGTTGTAAACTCAATTCAAGCAAGATCCTTTCAGCACTGCTTGTTTAAATCCTTACTCGATAAATTCAATGTTGCTTAGGGGGAACTAATCCTCAATGCTGATGGGAGGTAGTTAAATCAAGAAAAGATCCTCCAAAGATTTTTGAGATTTGATGCCTGAAATCATTACTTTTATTAAATCAAGGAATAAAGTGCACAGTGATCTGTCAGGCATGTGTAGCTGTCCTACGGGTTCCTTACAGACATAATGGCAAAACTAAATGAGCTGAACTGTGAACTGTAGGGAAAGGACAGTGTCTCAGCAATTTACGTTCAGTGCTGCGGATGCACTCAAACTGGAACTGGGTCTTGGTCCTCCCAATTAAAATATAAAATCCTGCTACACTTTCTAAGTTGGAAGAAAATACTAGAAAAAAAGTCAAAGACAAATAAAATAATACAACCAGAAAACCTCTGCATATCCCTGAGGAAGTTAGCACAGGGATTCAACAGGCAATTTCAGGAACTGATGTGTTGGAACAATTCGTCATGTTTGTCTCAAAATCATTTCTTTAATTAGACATTGGTAGATTGGCTATCAAATTCTATCAGGGGTTTGATTTTCAAAGCAGTGAAGTTGATGTGGAGATTGTTACTATACAAAATGGTAAAATGGTATTCAGCTGAAAGCCAGATGGAGACAGCAATTTTTGGGAACTTGCAAACAGAGAAAAATATCGACTCCTCTCATCCTGGGCTCTTAAAGTGGAGGCTTACTTTGGCTCCACATCTCTCTGTGAGACAGCATTCTCTCAAATGAAGATAATCAGGCCCAAATATTGCACCAGCCTTATAGATAGACAGCATCTGTAGTTTCAAACTACAACCCAGACTTCAATGCACTGGCAGATAATGTGCAGTCACAGGTATCACACTAAGACTTGGTGAATAGAGGACAACATGGATAATCACATACCCTTGGTTTTAGATTTATATAGCACTGAAAACAAACTGCTAATTGCTAAACCCAGTAAACCTGGGTTGCAATTAAATTCAAAAAAATGATCATATGTTAAAGATTGGAGACCACTGGATTATATGATAGAGTTTAAAGAAACGGCAAGTATCAGGAAAAATAAGAAAACCAATTATAAAGCCTAAAAATCACCATGTCTGCAACCTGGTCATTTATTAGAACTACTGCGTCAATACGGAAAGGCTCCCTTATTTGCACCTTCCAAGAAGAACAAGGGCAGCAAGTGCGAGGGAATACTGTCACTTCTAAAGCTTCCCTACAAGACATATTTTCCAAATCTGTGAACTCCAGATGCATGGGTGATTCATCACCTACAGGTTCCCCTCCGACCCACTCACCACCTCCATTTTTTCACTGTCTCTGGGTTAATATACCCTAACTTTCTTTCTAATAGCACCATTGGTGTATCTAATCTAGCAGTTTTGGTCAGTGGCTCAATACTACCTTCTTAAAGGCAATTAGCAGGGGGAAACAAATACTGGCCTGGTCAACGACATCAACGTTTCTCAAATTTTAAAAAGCAATTAGTTCTAAAGAAGATATATCAGGCTCGAAAAGTTAACTGTTTCTCTCTCCACAATTGCTGCCAGTCCTAACAAAAAACAAAGAACAAAGAAAATTACAGCACAGGAACAGGCCCTTCAGCCCTCCAAGCCTGTGCCGATCCAAATCCTCTATCTAAACCTGTCGCCTATTTTCCAAGGATCTGTATCCCTCTGCTCCCTGCCCATTCATGTATCTGTCTAGATACATCTTAAATGACGCTATCGTGCCCGCCTCTACCACCTCTGCTGGCAACGCGTTCCAGGCACCCACCACCCTCTGCGTAAAGAACTCCTGCTGAGTTTCTCCAGTATTTTCTGTGTTTGTTTTAGCAACTGGTAAATGTCAGACAAATTTGAAAATCACTTCCAAAAATATTCACAAAACCAATTGGAGTGCTTGGAACAAGTCAAACAGCAGTTGTTGCAACTGACTGCTAAGAGACCAATTCTACTTGGACATGCAATCACCCTATATTGCAATCTGCTGCTTCCAATCTACAGTCAGACCTCACTGTATAGTGATGTGTTCAATATGCAACTAGATCTGCTGTTATAACCTACTGCTGATGCATCAGTTATAGAGTACACAGAATAAAATCAGATGACACATTCACAGCCACAAAGCTCACCTTTGCCTCTAGAATATTGAGAGTTGTTTCAATTTGCTGGATACGTAGAGAAAGACTGGCCAGTTTCTGAAACAGAGAGGATAAACTAATCACATATTTGTAATAATTGCATAAACACTTGTAAAACAGAAAATAGAGTAGATTTTAGATATGGAAAACATGCCAACATTTATTTGTACTTTTAAAAATATTTTCATGCAATATGCCATTGCTGGTTTGGTCAGCATTTATTGTCCAGTTTTAATTGCACTTGAAAAGGTGGTGATGAGCTATGTTTTTAAACTGTTGCAGTCCATTTGGCACAGATACGCTCTCAGTAAGTGGGAAGGGTATGCCACTGCTGCTTCTGGTATCCAAATTGAAGCTAAGTGGTCTGTCTAGTTTTATTCCTTTTTAACTTTCTGTATCTGAATCTGTTCCTCCAGGGCATTTTCCTGTGTCTTTAAATTACTAATCCATTGACATTACCATCAAGCAAACTTATTATGACTCTCAAACACAGCAAAGTTTGTAATAAACAACATATTAGTTCTGAAGTGCAATGACAGTTGGATAATTTAATAAAACAGCACCCAGTGACATTCAAATAAACAACCTGGTGAGGAGTGCTGAGTAAATGTGTTTACATGCAAGAGAGAGAGAGCAGGAAGAATAGAACAGAATGGAAATTTATTGTCACTCTTGTGTACTCTTGTATGAAAAATACAGTGAAATGTTTTATAAGTCGCCACACCACGGCGCTTATAGTAATTACAGAAATCATACATAATAATGAGAAAAAAGTAAAATTAAGCCAAAGTTCATCACAGTTAACGGCTCTTGGGCTTAGGGAAAGCCGATTAAGGAACGATGGAATACCCAGAAGACTCAGCTGGGAGGAGACTGCCATTCCTGGACGGAACTGCCTGCAAAGCCGTAGGAATACCTGCAAGCTGAGGACAGACAGGACCTCCACATGGGGACAAGACCTCCTCATGGGGTCAAGCCCACCACACCAAGAGACCGCCACGTTGGGCCGTGACCACCATTTCTGGATGAGACCGCCTGCTGGGCTGCTGGAATACCTAGAAACTGACGCTGAAGACGTCCACATGAAGACAATACCTTCACGCTGGGCTGCTGCAAAACACCTCGTCGCTGGACCAGGAGAAGCCTTCCATCGAAGCAGTTAAAAGAAAGTAAGGTGAATCTTGATAATAAATAATAACTGGAAACATTAAAAAAAGGCAGAGAAAAAAAAAGAGCGGACAGAGTAGTTGAGCTCTGGATTCATGGGCTATGGAGCCCACATGCTGCCTGCTACTCCATCACTACATTATGTCATTAAAGAGAGCTTAGGAAAAGGACACAGAGTGTTTGACAAGAATAACAAAAACTTCCCAGCCTCAAAATAGTGCCATAGAATCTTTAACATTCACCTCATTGTCCTAAATGTAAAATTTTCATTTATACAGCATTCTTCTTGACTTATTCCTTCTAATTGCTCCAGCTGTGGACCTCCGAGGTTTGTGCATGGAGAAACCGAAAGCGAATGTATTGGCAAGACTGATTGGCACGTGTGCACCTTGGGAGTGGCTGCACAGCAGCGCGACTTACAGAAAACATTACTTACAACCATGAGACATGCCAAAGCCAAGAAATGCAGTAACTGTTGTAATGTTGGAAATGTGACAGCTAATTTCCAAACGGTAAATTCATACTTACAGCCATGTGGTAATACCCAATCTGTTTTTGCTTTATTTGTTGAGGGAAAAATATTAGCCACAGGACATGGGTGGGGGGATCCCTTCTGCTCTTCTTTGAAGTAGTGTCATGGGATCTTCACATCCATCCCATCAGGCAGCTAGGATCTCAGGTTAAAGGCTCATTTGAAAGACAGTACTTTTGGCAGTGCAGCACTCCCTCAGTACTGCAGTGGAGTATTAGCCCAGAATGTAGGCTCAAATTCTACAGTACAGGAGAACTTAATCTTCTCACTCAAGCAGAATCGCTACCAACAAAACGTGTTACAAACTGTGAGCTCCACATTGTGGTAAATCAGCCCTTAAGGCCCAGACAATTCAATCTGGTTAGCATGTCATTCCCCATTTTTAGGTGGGTCTGGTTTTCATGCTGTAGATTTCCTTGTGCATAGATCCTAAATCTGACTTTCTGACTCACAGATAGAGACAGTCACAAATCAACAGCAGTGTGGAGGTCCAAGATGGACAGACTGTGGGATAGTGGTACTGTGACTGGACTGGTAAATGAGACCTACCCCAGGCTAATGCTTTGGGGGATATGAGTTAAAATTCTGTCATGGAAGCTGGTGGAATTTAAATTCAATTACTAAATCAAGAACTGAAAGCTAATCTCAGTGAGGGTGACCATGAAAGTATCACCAATTGTTCTAAAAACCCATTGAAGTCACTAATCCCCTTTAGGGAAGGAAATCAGAAGTCCTTTCTTGGTCTGGCCTACTTGTGACTGCAGACCCAGAGCAATGTGGTTAATTCTTGACTGCCCTCAGAAATTGGTTCAAGGGCAAATAGGAAAGGGCAACAAATCCTGATAACACATAGTTGTAGGTATAAGCCACAGATTTACAGAATTATTGTTAAAATTACAAGGAACCAGTGTTGTAACCTGAATTCAAACCCAGCAACAAGGAAGACAAGGTCACATGGCATAATGTTACATTATTAGCCACATACAGTTAACTTTGCTGCACACTTTAAAAAACAGGTGAACACAAAAAATATCGTCCAGGTACACTGTATTTCATACTTCTCTAGAATACAAAAATAATATATTAGACAACAAACAAGAAAAACATCCACAGCTAGCAGTCAATCAATCAGAAACAAAACAGAAGGAATTTTATGAACTACCTCTTCACAAACTGTTGAAAACCGATTCAAAAACCGGACAGTGTGCGCAATAAACTGGTTGAGAAATGCCACAGTCCTTTGCTGCTGGATGGCTGGAACCTGCAGTGAAAAATCCAAAATCAATTTCACATTCTGTTGACTGCAGAAAAAAAATTCAGGAGGCTTAAGTCAATTTTGTTCATAGTTGGAGATGCAGATTAAAGGAGGAGGGAAATATTCGGAGAATTTCCAAAAGCGCAGTCCATAAGTAAGGGGTCCATGACTTACCAATGCCTAACTTAACAATGTGATTCTATATAGTGGTATAATTTTAAAGACCAACACACAAACATTTCCTGTACTTACGAATGACTGCTTAACATTGTCCTGCATTGTGTTCTGACTTGTGGACAAATCGATTTGTGAATGGTTTCCAGAATGGAAGCCATTCGCAACCCAGGGACTGCATGTACCAAATAAATACCCACACCAAAAAATCCAAAATTGAGGAATACAAGCTTGAAAAATAATGAATGGTGTTCCATTTCCAACTGATGTTCTTAATGGACAAGTAAGATTCCATACTGAAATCTAGCTTGCAAGATCACGTTTGGTCTGTTATGGTTTTAAAGAATTGGCCTGTCACTAAAACGTAAGTTTCAAATGCTGCAGATTTTACTTTAACAATAAACAATAAGTTTATTAACAAAAAAAAATAGAATGAACCAAACTATCTACTTGCAATGCAAAAGCAAAGTTTTAAACACACAGTCGAAGTATAATCCCAAAGGACTCCTTTATAAATCCAAAGGAAAATACATCCCTGGTACAGTACACAAAAGACTACTCCTACAATACTCACACCAGATTCGCCGTATCTAATACCTCAGTAGGTTTAAGTCATTTGTAACTTCAATTTACAGATTGGAACTGCAGATAACTTCTTCCTGGAGATATTATATGCCTGATTTATACATATTCAGCTTTAAGAAATCCCTTCAGGGTTTTATCTAACACTGACTCTTCACTCTGAGATAAGCTAGTTCATGACAACCGTCCCTTCTCAGAATCACTGGACCTAACCACAATCCTTATTGAACACTTTCACAGGACTTCCTCACTCATAGTCAAACTGAATCTAAAAGTTCCAGTAGTCACAAACAAAACTTGAAGATCCATTATTTATCTTGCTAATCATAAAACAATCTAAGATAAACACAAATCCATTAGCTGTGCTCAAAAACCCATTCACTCTAAAGCTAGACCTCAAAAACAATTTTAAAAGAAACCACAATTTCAGAGCCAAAGACTAGATATTAAATACAAACCGAAAGAACTGTGGATGCTGTAAATCAGGAACAAAAACAGAAGTTGCTGGTAAAGCTCAGCAGGTCTGGCAGTATCTGTGAAGAAAAGAATCGGAGTTAATGTTTCAGAACCAGTTCTGAGAAAGGGTCACCAGACCCGAAACATTAACTCTGATTTTTTTCTTCACATAAGTTGCCTGACCTGCTGAGCTTTTCCCACATCTTCTGCTTTTGTTGTTGACTAGATATTAAAATTACAGATTGAGCTTGGGGCTGCAGTTGGGGATCCATATCAGAGTTTCGGGATCAAAACTAAGGATCAAGTATTAAGATACATAGAATGTAGGAGCAGGAATAGGCCATTTGATCTCTCAAGCTTGCTCTGCCAATCATTATGATCATGGTTGACATCCCTTAACCCTTTTAGCCACAAGAGCTTTATCTACCTCTTTCTTGAAAACAATGTTTTCCACTTTCTGTGCTAGCAAATGCCTCGGGCTCACCACTCTCTGGGTGAAATTTGTCGTAACCTACTAAAAGATTTATCTCGTATCCTTAAGATATGGCCCTCGGTTCTGGACTCCAACATCAGAAACTTCTTTCTAGCATTTAACCAGTCCAGTCCTGTTGAATTTTACAGATTTCAATGAGATCTACCCCCTCATTTTTCTGAATTCCAATGAATACAATCCTAACTGACTCAATCTCTCCTAATACATCTTCCTGCCATCCCAGGAATCAATTCAGTGAGCCTTTACTGCACTCCATCTATAACAACAGCATTTTCCCTCAGATATTGAGGCCAAAACTACACACAATATTCCAGATGCGGCCCTACCAAGGCCCTGTATAACTACAGTGAGACATTCCTGCTCCTGTACTCAAATCCTCTCGCTTTGAGGCCAACAGAGTCATTTGTCTTCTTTACCTCCTGCTGCACCTGTGTGCTTACTTTCAGCTCCTGGTGAACAAGGACACCCAGGACTTGTTGATCATTCTCCTCTCTCAATTTACAGTCATTCATATAATAGTCTGCCTTCCTATTTTTCCTACTAAAGCATATAACTTCACATTTATCGACATTACACTGCATCTGCCATGCATTTACCAACTCACAGACTGACCAAATCACATTCTGACATCTTCCTCACAGTTCACCCTTCCTCTTTGTGTCATCTGCAAAGTTTGAGATATTACATTTAATTCCCTCATCTAAATGATTAACATATAATGTGAATAGCAAGGGTCCAATAATCCCTGTGAATACCCCACTAGTCACTGCCTGCCATTCAGAAAAAGACCCATTTATTTCTACCCTTTGTTTCCTGTCTGCTAACCAATTTTCAATACACTACCCTCAAACTGATGTGTTTTAGTTTTACACATTAATCTCTTATATTGGACTTTACGGAAAGCCTCTGAAAATCCAAATAATCCACATCCCCTGGCTCCCCGATCAACTCTACTAGTTACATCCGTTGAAGAATTCCAGTACATTTGTCAAGCATGATTTCCCTTTCGTAAATTCATGCTGACAGGCATTTAGAAGTTGTAGTTACATGTTGACATTAGGATTTACAGGTTATGGTTAGTGGGTTAGGATTAGGTGTTAAAGCTGCAGTTTAGGGGTTTACGTTGAAATTAAGGGGTTATGGTTGGGATTAAGGGGTTAAATTGGATTTTAAGGGGTTAGGATTATGGTTAAGGGGTTATGGTTGGGGTTAAGATTGGGACTAAAGGGTTAAATTGAGTTTAAGGGGTTAAGATTATGGTTAAGGGGCTGTGGCTGGGATTAAAGGGTTAAATTGAGTTTAAGGGGTTATGGATGGGGTTACAGGTCAGGTAGGGGAGTCAAGGAGGTAAGGGTAAGGACTCAGGCTGCGGTTAAGGGTGGAGGTTAGAGGTCAGAGGTTAAGACTAGGGTTTATGGGCGGAGGTCGAAGTTTAGGATAAGATTTAAGGGTTACAGGCTCTCGGTTAACATTTAAACTATCGCTGATAAAAAATATAGCTCTAGGAATCCCCTGTCTTTCCCCCCTCACCCGGGTCAGGTCGATCCCTGATCCCACCAACGGGAGTCCGTCCGCGTCCATTCCGCCCGGAAACAGTGCCTGACCCCTGACCCGGAAGGGAAGCGACGAAGGGCCACGGGGGCGGGGCCGGACCATAATCACCCCCCCCCAGCCCCAGGGGCAAGTGTGTGTCCGTGTCCGTGTCCCTTCTTGGGCCTACTGCTGTACCCCAGCCCTCGGGCCTAGTGTCCCACCGGAGAATCCCCATTTCATCACCAGGAGGAGGAGGCGGCCTCATGAAGAGAGCACTCGGTGACGTTCAGATTGACAACAATCTTCAAACGTGCTGGAGAAACTCAGCAGGTCTGGCAGCATCTGTGGAGAGGGACACACACACACACACACACACAGAGAGAGACAGAGTTAGCCTCTCGGCTCAAAGACCTCCCTTCAGAACTGGGAAAAAAAAAATAGGGACCCGAAGGGTTTCCAGGGAAGGCAGGAGATGGGCAAAGAAACGACAACATTGCCAGACCTGCTGAGTATTTCCAGTAATTTTGTTTTAGTTCAAAAAGTCCTTGTTTCTGATTATAGCCTCAGTTAATGGCAAAATCTCCTGTTCATTTCTATATATTTCCTATTGCGTTTCCTCAGTTCCCCCGATTCCTCATCATAGCACAGACGTCAATCCATGATTATCAACCTAACCAGTTAATGATGCAGAGATAGTAGGAACTGCAGATGCTGGAGAATCCGAGACAACAAGGTGCAGGGCTGGATGAACACAGCAGGCCAAG